CGCTGCTCTGTTTGTGTGCACAAGAGTTTCAAGTTGCTGTGTAGATCAGCAGAATCTTCTTGGTTAGGGTAGTATGCATAAATATTTCTTAAGATATAAACATCCTGTATACCGCGTGGGGTGGGAGTGCCGATGGGGAAATAAGACAAGCTGGAACGCAGCAGATCATTGTATGAGTAGAAACCTGCTCTGTGCCCCCTCTCACTGTTCAACATGGATTGCTTGTGTGTCTGTCTTTTCAGACATTCCTGCCTCCCTGACCTAGGAAGTAGTCCCGCTTGCACAAGGACTTCTGTTTGTGCTGTCAAACTTTCCCTCCTCCTTCTCTCCTCCCTGCGACCCCTACAGATCCACTGCAGAGGGGTAGGGGAGCCCCCAGAACAGATTTGGAGGGCACATGGTGGGGAGAGGGGCTGCAGTGGAAGTCCTTGCACAAACAGGATGACAGTTCTTTGTATGTGACACCCCCCACCCCCCAATACAACACAGGTGTTGCTTTAATCCAGGGCAAAGATGATCTGAGTGCTTTCTTCATAGAAATAATAGAATCACAGAGTTGGAAAGGGATCGCAGGGGGTCATCTAGTCCAACTCCCTGCAATGCAGGAATCTTTTTGCCCCACGTGGGGCTCGAACCCAAGACCCTGAGGTTCAGAGTCCCATGCTCTGCAAACTGAGCTATCCTAACTGCTTCGTGTTTATTGCATGCGGCCTGTGTGTCATGAGCCCCATGGAAGATTCTTGGTAGGGTGAAGAGGAATGGGATGGAAGTGCTGAGCTTTGATGCATGAGAGGGATGAGTAGTTGTTTCTGAATATCCCCTTCCCCGCCTCCTGATACTGCTGTTTCTGCAGCAACCAGGGAGGCACGTGGGCCTGGACCGGCTGGGTAGAGCTCACCTTTGTCTCCAAGGAGCTGCTGCCAGATGCTCAGGGTCTAACAGACCCAGCTTACTCTCAGGAGTGCGCTGTTTGCTTACCTAGTCCCATTGCTTGGGACCCCAAATGTGTGAATCACTGGTCCACCTTTCTCTTCAGAAGGAAAGTGTGTGTGTGGGGGGGTGTCCAATGCCTTGGCGTGTGCCAGTCTGGACTTCTCCTGTGACTAATTGCTGTAGGTCATGGCATCATTAAAGGTAAAGGGACCCCTGACCATTAGGTCCAGTCGTGGCCGATTCTGGGGTTGCGGTGCTCATCTCGCTTTATTGGCCGAGGGAGCCGGCGTACAGCTTCCAGGTCATGTGGCCAGCATGACTAAGCCGCTTCTGGCGAACCAAAGCAGCCCACCGGAGCGGTACCTATTTATCTACTTGCACTTTCACGTGCTTTTGAACTGCTAGGTTGGCAGGAGCTGGGACAACAACGGGAGCTCACCCTGTCGCGGGGATTCGAACCGCCGACCTTCTGATCGGCAAGTCCTAGGCTCTGTGGTTTAATCCACAGCACCACCCGCGTCCCCATGGCATCATTAAGTTGGCATAAATTGTTAAAAAGTATATGTCCCTCAATGAGCTATCTTGATCCTGGCGCTAGTTCTTAAATTTAAAATGCTTAGAATTGAAATCTTAAGTTAAAAATATTCAGTTCCGACACCTCTTTTTATGTTCTTGTTCTGAGCAAAGGAATTGCATATAATAAGTTTCCAAGCAGGGCTGTTTGTATTCCTTTCTGCTGCAGTCATGGCATGCAGGCGCAGAAAATAAGTATTCACTGTCCTGGGAATTTCAGCTTTTCATCTTAAATATTTTAGCACTCAAGGTTGCAGGAAGAGGGCTGGAAATGCATCAGCCTTGATGAATTGGGGGGGGGGGAGGAACTGGGGAAGGAATAGGGCTGAAGTTGAACAGGATTTTGAATCAATCCTGGAGATTGCTATCCTTTCCCCTACAACAGCAGAATAATAAATTGTGCAGAATGCACATGCATATCCAAATATTATTAAACTGCATGAATGTATGCAGGTTGCAAGATTCTGTGTGTATGTGGCGTGGAGGGGGGAGAATATTTCCCCTCCTCCCAAAAAAACATTTGTGCAAAATACACACGGTCCTGCGCCCTGACAATGTAAAATGAACTTCAGAGCCATAATGTATACTAATGGCCAGTTGCTCGAGCGGTTTTTAAAGGGGCTTCAGCAAATTTGTGGCTCTCAACCAACATATCGTATTTTTCGCTCTATAGGACGCACCGGACCCTCTCTGCTCAGCGCCCCTTCAGCGAAGCGGCAGGAGAAACAGAGCCCCTTCCATTTCTTCTCCCGCTTCACCGAAGGGGCGCTGCGCAGCTCTCCTGCTGCGCTCTGGGGGCTTCAGGTGGCTATCCGCAAGCATTTGGAGCAGAGCGGGAACTCCTGCTGCGCTCTGAAGGCTTGCAGATAGCTGCCTGAAGCCCCCAGAGCACAGCGGGAGTTTGCGCTGCGCTCCGGAGTCTTCAGGCGGCTTCAGCCAAAGCAACGTGAAGCCTCTGGAGCGCGGGGGGAGCTCTCCCTCTGCGCTTCGGAGACTTTGCGTTGCTATCGCTGAAGCCAAGGAGCCTGCATTCGCTTCATAAGACACACACACATTTCCCCTTAATTTTTGAAGGGGAGACAGTGCGTCTTATAGAGCGAAAAATACGGTAGTTCAATGGAACCTCCATGGCCAAACATAGTGTAGCTTTCGAAATCGGTTGCTACGGAACAAAGTGTTCATGGATGTCTTCACACCTGACTCGCAGTGACTTTCCCAGCTGTATCATGGGTCCCTCAGCCCCATCAGAATTTGGCATGGTTTGGCCAGAAGGAGCAGATGGCGGGATGGGGCTGGAAGTCTGGTACCCAGGTGTAGAGGAGAGCTGGAAACAAAGGGGCAGGATGCAGTCTTGTCGCTGAGAACCAGGCATCCAGGTGTGATCAGACGCGCTTACCCAGAGCACAGTGTCTGTCGGCAGCAGACCTGTAGGGCGAGAGAGTTTCATGAGTGAGCAAGCACGGCCTCATCTTGAAATCCCTTGTGGGAGGGCGTGTTAGTCGTCGGCGCATCTTTGTAGCTGCAGTTCGCTTAGGAACTTCTCACCTTGCTCATTTACTTTCGAACAGGGTTAGAAACTCAGATATATAAGTTAATATATAAGGCCCTGACACTGAGGTCCAGCTCCGAGAGCCTTCTGGCAGTTCTCTCACTATGAGAAGTGAAGTTACAGGGAACCAGGAAAGTGGGCCTTCTCGGTAGTGGCACCCTCCCATCAGATGTCAAGGAGATAAATAACTATACGACTTTAGACGACATCTGAAGGCAGCCCTGTAAAGGGAAGTTTTTAGTGCTTGATGCTTTATTATGCTTTCATATTTGTTGGAAGCTGCCCAGAGTGGCTGGGGCAACCCTGTCAGATGGGTGGGGTACAGATAATAAAATTATTATTATTAATTGCCAAATGGCACGTTAAACCTAGGTTACAGTCACCACAATGTCTAGGCATCTTTTTTTGCAGTGGGAATGATGATGCTTAATAGAATCAGACACCTCCATATTATTATTATTATTATTATTATTATTATTATTATTATTATTATTATTATACCTCTCTATATTTCTTGTTTGTTTTACACTAAAATTTTAGGACCAGTTTTGTATATGCTTGTGTTTTATTAAATATTAAAAGACAGAAATTTACAGAGCTTTCTGAAATCTTAATTTACCTAGGATGGAGTGAACTTTTTTGCAATTCCTTTCATATGGAACAGGGAGCATGCTTGTTTTCTCCTGCTCTGGAGGGTAGGACTCAAGGCATTGCCTTCAAGTTACAAGAAAGGAGATTCTAACTAAATATTCGGAAAAAACCTTCTGACAGTAGGAACTGTTCAGCAGTGGAACGGACTCCCATGAGAGGTGGTAGACTCTCCTTCCTTGGAGGTTTTTAAGCAGAGGTTGGATGGCCACCTGTTGTGGGTGCTTCAGTTGAGATTCCTGCATTGCAGGGGGTTGGACTAGATGACCCCTGGGGTCCCTTCCAACTCTTATGATTTTATGAATTTTGGGCCAGTGGCTCTGTTAATTGGATAGCCTTTCTTAAAAACAACAACAACAACACATTAGCACCCATTTTATTCTCCATTTTCAGAATAACAATAGACATATCCTCTCCCCACACAGGAGCATACATAAAGAAAAAAACTTAAAAGCATTTTCTTTGATAAGTCAAACCACTTTATCTGTAGAACAAAAATATCATTCTGTAGATCCCTGCAGCTTGCTGGTAGCCTTTAACCATGCTTTTCCATTGCCACATAATAAATAAATTTGTACCAAGTTGAGTAAAATGGATAGTAGTAGTAGTAGTAGTAAAAATACTAATAATAATAATAAATTTTATTTATACCCCACCCTCCCCACCCAGAGCCGGGCTCAGGACGGCTAGCACCAATAAAATCACAGTAAAACATAAGGGGGGAGGGGGAAAAGGGGGAAAACCAATTTAAAATGCAATTTAAAATGCAGCCTCATTTTAAAAGTAGCTGATAGATCAAGACCATAAGGGGAGGGCAACATAAGGGTCAGACTGAGTCCAAACCAAAGGCCAGGCAGAACAGCTCTGTCTTGCAGGCCCTGCAGAAAGATGTCAAGTCCCGCAGGGCCCTAGTCTCTTGTGACAGAGCGTTCCACCAAGTCGGGGCCAGTACTGAAAAGGCCCTGGCCCTAGTTGAGACCAATCTACCCACCTTGCGACCTGGGACCTCCAAAATGTTGTCATTTGTGGACCTTAAGGTCCTCTGCAGGGCATACCAGGAGAGGTGGTCCCATAGGTACGTGGGTCCTAGGCTGCATAGGGCTTTAAAGGTCAAAACCAGCACCCTTTCAAAAAACAACAACAACAAAGGAGCACAAAACCAAGCAGTTTAAAAAGAAGTTGCTGTTGATGTAATGTATATGTTGCCTTGTTAGCTCTGGAAAGGTGAACTTTGTCGATGGGCTGAATGGCGCTAAGTCGAGTTTAGGAGTTAAACGGTCCCCGTCTTGCTTCCTAGGTGGAGCTGTGGCTCAGCAGGTTCCCGTGCAAGCCATCCAGGTTCATCAGCAGACGTCTCCCACAACTGACAGCAGTACTGACCTCACCCAGACCTCTTCCAGCGGGACAGGTAAGCAGCCCCCAAATCTCTTGCTGCCACATAACTCTAGGTAGGGAATGGGGAACTTCCATTTCTACCAGGGCCATTGACTCACGGAAGACAACCACAACAACGTGTTGCCGTCCTGCCTTAGTACCCTTGGGCTTCCATCCCTTGGTTGCTGGCTCCTGTGGTCACCAGTCAGCTGACCTCTGCCTCTCCTATCAGTGGATTGCTGTTGTTTGAAACACCTCCCAGCCACGGTGCCCAGCCAATCAGGAGAGACCAGTGGGGGAGAGCACGTGCTATTGGGCTCCACTGCCTAAGGACCCCCGCCCCGCCCCGCCCAACCTAGACCTAGGCCTTTTAGGGTTGCCATATGTCCTCTTTTCCCAGGACATGTCCTCTTTTTCATGGGTATGTAAAATGAGAGTCGTCGTTGTGATCTATAGTTAGAAGCAGAAGTCGGCAAATGTGTCCCCCTTTTTGCTCTTCAAAATATGGCAACCGTACCTTTTTTTAAAGGGGACGCGGGTGGCGCTGTGGGTTAAACCACAGAGCCTAGGACTCGCCGATCAGAAGGTCGGCGGTTCGAATCCCCGTGACGGGGTGAGCTCCCGTTGCTTGGTCCCTGCTCCTACCAACCTAGCAGTTCAAAAGCACGTCAAAGTGCAAGTAGATAAATAGGTACCGCTCCGGCGGGAAGGTAAACGGCGTTTCCGTGCGCTGCTCTGGTTCACCAGAAGCAGCTTAGTCATGCTGGCCACATGACCCGGAAGCTGTCTGCGGACAAACACCGGCTCCCTCGGCCCACAGAGTGAGATGAGCGCCGCAACCCCAGAGTCGGTTACGACTGGACCTAAAGGTCAGGGATACCTTTACCTTTACCTTTTTATCCAGGGCAGAGGCTGAGCAGGGAAGGGGTTGATGCCCAAAGCTTTCTTCAGCCTTGCTTCCCTGAATGTCATTGGACTACAACTCCCATCATCCATGACCGGCAGCTGAGCTGGCAGGGAATGCTGGGGGTTGTAGTCAAACAATGCGCAAGGAGGACCCAAGCTTGAAGAACTGTGACCCTAATGGTTTTCTCTCTCTCCCCACACCTAGCAAAGTCTGTTACCCAAACATGGAGTCTTCCAGCTACCCATGTGGCCTGGACGAAATGAGTTGGCAGGATAAATCTGCCCCATGCTTGTTCTAGGCCTTGCAAGGCTTTCCTTTCACCCACACCTACATCCTTTCAATTGAACCTGCTGGTTCTGACTTGCGGTTGTGTAGATTTGCAGTCTGTGTGCCCTGCCTGGGCTTATTGAGTGCTGTTACAGAGGCACCTGAGCTCCCCTCCCCCCTTTGCTTGCGCAGCTCCCTGCAATCGGAGCTCCTTTTAAAGATCATTCTTGTCCCAAGCACTGCTCTGCGCAAAAGTATATCATTGCTTACAAGGTCACTGTCTCCTTCGAGTTCAGCAGACCCTTGTCTAGTCAGTGCTGATAGGCTGGGTAGGAGAATGCCTGAGAAACTTAGAGGAAAGTATTTGTTCTAATATAGTGTTACTTTAGTGCCATCTAGTGGGTGTTTGCTTGCATATATATATATATATATATATATATATATATATATATATATACATACATACATACATACATACCGGTATGTATGGGTGGGTGGGTGGTGTGGTGGGTGTGTGTGCGCGCGCACACACACACACACACACACACAGAGTGTCATACCTCTTGTTATATCTTGAGCAGAAGCGCAACGCGCAGACGCGGGTTGTGTTCTGCTCATGATGTGAACGGGGCTCCGGAACATATCCCATTCGCACCAGAGGTACCACTGTATACACACACACACAGTGGTGCCTCATTTTGAGTCTGGCTCGTCGAGCATCCATTTTGTCAAACGTCATGGAATGGGTTACTTCCGGGTTTGCCGTATGCGCAGAAGCTCTAAATCGCGCTTCGCACATGCGCAGAAGCACCTGCACTTTGTCCTGGGTCCTTTTCATCTAGCGTCCAGGGCTCCGGAACGGAACCCGGTCGCAAAACAAGGTACGACTGTACACACACACACCAACTTTCTATTCAAAGGAGTTCTATCGCGGCTGTTTCCAACCAGCCCAATTCCTTTTCAGGGCTATTTTGTACATTGCCTGGTAGCAAAGTGGGGTTTGCCACTGACAGTACTCTGAGAGTTGCAAGCAGTCTCAATTTCCTGATGAGGACCCCTGCATGTCACATGAAGATATGAAAACAAACCAGAAAAATTGGAGCCCTCCCTCCCAAAAAAGGAGATGAAAACCCTGGGGTTTTCCATTAAAAAAAAGGTGGAGTGGGGGACCCTTGAAAAATGAGAGGGGACAGCTCCCTCCAATCTTTCCACGTGTTTTCAAGGCCATCACATCTCTATGTGTGTCTCACACATTCCTTGTTTGTCTTTAGGTGTAAACTTCAACATACCCCTAACAAAGCATAATAAATAGGGACGCAGGTGGCGCTGTGGGTTAAACCACAGAGCCTAGGACTTGCCGATCAGAAGGTCGGCGGTTTGAATCCCCACGACGGGGTGAGCTCCCGTTGCTGGGTCCCTGCTCCTGCCAACCTAGCAGTTCAAAAGCACATCAAAGTGCAAGTAGATAAATAGGTACCGCTCCGGCGGGAAGGTAAACGGCGTTTCCGTGTGCTGCTCTGGTTCACCAGAAGCGGCTTAGTTGTGCTGGCCACATGACCTGGAAGCTGTACGCCGGCTCCTTTGGCCAATAAAGCGAGATGAGCTCCGCAACCCCAGAGTCGGTCACGACTGGACCTAATGGTCAGGGGTCCCTTTACCTTTACCTTTAACAAAGCGTGGTTATTATTGTTTTTGCAAAATTTGAGAGCTGGCTGGATTTTCCAGCAGCCAGCTCGAAGAGAAGGAGACTTGCATGTGCAGAGAAGTTCATTTTATTCTCACCGGTGTATTCCGGTTGTCTTGGCGCTGACATGTACTCATGTGCATAACCCCTGTCCCCCACATGCCAGCCATGACATCTGTTTTCTGGCAGATGTTGGGAAGCCCTGAAAGAATTGCGCTTCCTATGTCAGCATAATCCTGTGTAAAGCAAATGTATGCAATGAGCTGGTGATGGACCCAGGAATACCACTGTGAGGTTTTCAAGCAATTGCTTGATGGCTACATGCAAAAATCCTCACTGGTTCTGCATCTTAAAAACAAGCAAGATAACGGACTGAATCTGATGCAGCATGGGGGACTGAGGCATTGTGGGTGTGGTGCCATCTATTTTTTATTTTTAAAAAATATATCTTTATTAATTTAAAATAAATACATTTATGAGAAAACAGACATACATACAATCAAAGAAACAAATAACAGAAAAATCAAACAAACCACCACACTATAAGGTACAAAAAGATTAATATAATTGTCATCATATATACTCCTGATACTGAACACAATTATAAAACTTATAGAGAAGAAATTTATAACTGACTTCCAATTAATCTCACTGTACTTTATCCATTACTTTATACCACACATTTACATATTTCTTAGATTATTTCTTTTTACCTCCCTACGAACTTATATTTATACAATTCAGGGATCAGTCTAATTCTGCCAAGATGTTTCCTTTTATTCCATAGTTTTCTAAATATTCGATTCCCCAATCCTTATAGACTTTTTGTTTTGATTGGCCTCTTACTCTTCCTGTCACTTTCGCTAGCTGCAGGTATTCTACCATTAGGATTTGCCAATCTTCCGTGTTGGGTACTGTTGTGTTATTCCAATTTCTTGTTACTAAAATTCTGGCCGCCGTTATTCCGTACATGAACAATTGTGCCTTGCCCCTCCTTTCTTTTGCCAGTGACCCTGCCAGCTACGATCATGACTTCGTCCGTGCCAACCACCGTAGGCGGCCATATGATGTACCCCAGTCCTCACGCAGTGATGTACGCGCCTACGTCAGGCCTGACAGATGGTGGCCTTGCAGTTCTCAATGCCTTCTCCCAGGCACCATCTGCAATGCAGGTTTCACACGGCCAGGTCCAGGATCAGGGTAAGACTGGAGGCGGGCTTTTCCTTTACGTAGAATGCTCATATCGCACTTCTGTAGCTTCAAAGGGCTCTCAAAGCAGCTTGCGGAATATTCTCGAAATAAAATGCTTCAATCTAGTATAGGAGCAGGTGTTGCTTGGTGTACGCGATTAGGTTAGAACGACAGCTCTCCCCAAAATTGTCTGAAGGGTGTGGGGCTGAGCTGTTGTGTCTTGCTCAGCTCATGATGAAATCCGTCTTACCTGATGACAATGGTGTTTCTGAAAGAGTGAACGATCTTCATTCTGCCATGTGTTGGGTTCCTCAGAACATAGATTATCTATCTATGTTCTGAGGAACCTAACACATGGCAGGATAGATAGATAGATAGATAGATAGATAGATAGATAGATAGATAGATAGCACCAGTAACGTGCATGGTGTTTTACCGAGTAGAAGAGCACAGCACTCTGCCCTGAGGAGCTTACAATCTAAAATTTGAACCAGAGGAAGGGGAAGAAAGTGGAGTCAAGGGAATATGCAGGAAAGAATGTGTGATTATTTAAGTTACACCTGCTCAGGGTAAGTTACACTTGGGTTTGGAAAGAGATATGAGGATAATTCCAGAGAGGAAGATTTGAGAAGGGTGAAAAGGAGCAGCTGCATGTCTTTGATGCATAGCTCAGTGGCAGAGTGCATGTTTTGCAGAAGGTCCCGGATTTGTAGTTATCTGTAGGGAACTCAGGTACCAGTTTGTAAGAAAGACCTTTGCTGGAGACTTGTCAGAGCTGCTTGTTAGTAAGTAGGGTTGCCAACAACAGACCAGTGGAGCTGCTTTATATATTTTAATACTTAAGCTTTATCGAAATATAAACACATTTCTATTTCGGTGAGCCTCCATCCTGCATTTCAGCAGGAGATTTGGTGATCACTGCTTTTATAAAGCATGTTTAGGACAGCTTTTGTTCAACAGAACATTGCTTGCGCTCTTTGAAATGGCTCGTTTTGTTTCTAGCTTTAATGATATTGGTTCTGGGTTTATTTTCGTTTACGCCACTATGATTACACCTGAATTGTTCTGGATCATTTGAAGGTGGTGCTGTTGGCGCTGTTAGTTTTGGATAGCGGCTAATGGCACACTTGTGATTTTTTTCTTTGGCAGGTGGAGTCCCTCAGGTGTTCCTGACAGCACCATCAGGAACAGTTCAAATCCCAGTCTCAGCTGTCCAGCTTCACCAGGTAGGTTCCCCATTTAAGTAGACTTAAACTTCCCCCAGACTGGGACTGCAGTCCTACTGAACCTTAAGGGATTGAACTTCTGAGGAAATGGGATTGTGGTGTAAGGCTGGCTGTAATTTTCTTTGCACCCTGTTGAACATATAGCAAGATAAACAGCTACCAGGTCTGCCTTGTGTACTGAATTTCAGCGATCCCATTTTGTTGCATTTCCCTGTTGTTTCATTCAAGCTTCAAGACTCCTAGGGATGGAAGCAGACAATGGCCTGGTTCGCACATAACACTAAGCCAAACTATGGCTTAGTGTGAAAAGGCAAGCGTGCTAACACAACAATTAGACAATCACAGCTGCTTCACTCCCCACTCCTGCTGCTACACTGCCAGGAGCTAAGTGTTACAGTCAGGCCTGGGTTTGTGATTTATCTCACTCCAAATAAAGAAAGAGAAAACCAAGGTTTGTTCTAGGCTTACTGCTCTTGGAGTGTTTGGCAGCTACAAACCACAGTTAAACTATGTGCTGTGTAAGTTCTTTCTTTTCTCTGTCCTCAATCTTCCAACATTAAGCTTCATTGCATGGCCCTGAGTTATAATATTCTGGGAGTGGGATATAAGCTTATCTTCCTACATTTTTCTCAGCATACATCATCTGTCATATCCCTCATTACTTGCCTTTTTCCCTAAAAGTAAAAAGCCCCAAATTATGTAACTTTTCCCCATAGGGTAGTTGTTTCATCCCCTTGATCATATTGATTGTTTTTTCTTCATGTTTTGATGAGTGCATCATATTTGCGTGATCGTATCTTGACTTACTATTATCCTGAGACACACACAAGCTTTGTAGTCCTTTCACTTATCCTTTGTCATCAAGCTATGATTAAATTAGGAAATCCCTAATTAACTTAGCTTTTCGTTTCATCCAAACTGTGAAACTATGGTTACTAGCATTGGAAGAAATCAGGATCTTAAACCAATTTCAAAATGGTCTAATATCCTGACTTGTTCTGCAGCTGGTTACCATTGTTTCCTGGTTTGGACAGAACAGGAAACTATGGTTAGTTAGACGCTTTCTGGTGTAATTTCAGCCCACGCTAAAGAGAAGGGGCTTTGAGATTTGATAGTCTGAACCAGCTCTGAATCCTGTTCATACAAGAAAACACCACCTTTAAGTAAAACAAATCCAAGTATATTCCTCTCTGACCACTTTAATATGTGTACCTCCATATGGTGAAATATTGAGAGAACCATGTGAAATTAGAAGCAAATGGTGTGTTTCATGTGATTGCATCAGACAACCAGTCTTTCCTGTAACAGTTGAGGCCATCACACAAATGCATTTCCTAAGTCAGTGTTTCCTGATCTTCTGAAACCTGCGTTCCAAATCTTCTTTTCTAGATGAAGGCACGCCTCATTCTTACACTCTTAAGACAAATTCACCATCACAGCCTGCAACCAACTTTGTATTTTATATGACTTAATTTTTTTTAGTATTAATATTTTTTTTAAACTGCCTTGGATTCCTTGGGAGAGGGAGGGGTGGTATATAAATGTAGGATCGAGATAAGTAAAATAAGCATGTGCTGTTTGAAGGCAAGCGCTCCTTTGCCTAACAGTTCTCCTTCGTTCTTTTGTCTCCGCAGATGGCCGTAATCGGGCAGCAGTCCAGCAGCAGCACCAACTTGACAGAGCTACAAGTGGTCAACTTGGACACGTCGCATAGCTCCAAGAGTGACTGAGCAACTCTGGAGGGCGGGGGGGGGGAGGGGGAACCTGGGGGGCGGAAGGAGAGAGACAGAGGAGAAGGTGTGTCCCTGGCACCCAAACCTGCAGTGGCTGCCTCCAGTTTTTGAGGCCTGTGCGTGGCTTGAGGACCTGCGGCGCTCCCCAAAACTGCACCAGGATCTCTGCGGTCCCTATTTTTCTATGGACTCTGTCACTTATTTATTGTTGCCTTTTTCACGTTTTCTTCCCTTTTCTCTCAACACTTCACACCGACACACACACGCACAAATACACACACACACACACACACACACACACACACACACTCAAAACACATATTAAAGTGGCTGTTGAGGCCAGCGGCAGGGAGCTGAGCCTGGGCTGTAAGGGGAGGGCGGGGGCGGGCGGTTTGCTTTGTTACCTTTGGACGCTGCATATACAGTGCTTTTATTTGTGTGTGTGTGTGTGTGTGTGTTTGTTTGGTTTTGTTTTCCCCCTCCTCACTCCAGCCAAAGAAATGTGTCTCTCGTGGGTGGGGGAACTTTACTCTGCCATGTGTATATAATATATAGGGGAAAAAACCCTCCTTCTGTCGTCATCGCCAGAGCGGGAGTTCCTTCTCCCCCTCTCCGCAGCGTGTCCACGAACTTCCTCAGCTCACAGTCTCCAGCCTGAGCAGCCAAGACTGTGGCAGGGAGATAAGCTGGAACGCAGAAGGGCCTGAAGCCATCGTCATCCAAAAGGGAGTCTCTTGTTTCTGCTGTCATTTTATTTTCACTTTTAACCTATGCTGGAGCAAAGGGTCATCTCTCTCTCTCTCCCCCCCACCCCCATCACCCCAGGTTCAGGTTCTCCAGCTGGCTTGCAGCAATGTGCCTTCAAGCAAATCAGTGATGCGTTGTGGCCTGGCCTCTGCACAGCGACCCTTGCCTCTTACGCTTGGCTTGCAAAGAGGGGTCGCTCCCGCCAGTGCCCTCCTTCTCCTTAGGCTCTGTTGTGGGTGGATGAGGAGAGGCAAGAGCACATTGGCGGCAACCCTGGAACCGTTCCTTCCCTTGAAGCTCGTGTTTGGTTGGTGAGAACCCACCAGCTTTAGGAGTACGTGCCCCGGGGGTGTGTGAGCGGGCAGTGGACACCTTTCACTGCCAGACAGGGCACTTTTAAACACCGCCCTGCCCACTTCCTTGGGTCCTACCCAGCAACCCTTAAGCCCCATCGTTGCGACAGATGCATCCTCTCGGGCGAGCTTTGTTTGTTTTTGCAGAGGCTACTCCTCTTGAGAAGGTCGATGAGATGAGCCGCCGTCCTTTTTCTAAGTAATCGGGGAGAAGGGTGTAAAGGAACAGTGTCGGAAGCAGAGGGAAAGCTATATTTTTGTAAGTTTGAACTCCACAGGCCTTCCCAAGACTGTTGTGCCCACAATTTGAGACCTTCCACCCCAACCCTGGCCAGGTAGCCCCAAAAACAAGATGATTCGTCCCCTTGAAAGCGCTTCTGCATCTGCTGCTTCCGAGTCTGCCGTCCTCAGTTGGGACTGGGTAGGACTCAAGAGTGGTGGGAACGCACCTCCCCTGCAGGAGAAAGGCAGCGCTGGATGAGTAAGGTGACAGCCGCCACCAGGTCTTTGTGCTTTAGAAAATTCCTTATCGTGTAGATCCGTGGTTCGGGGTCAGCAAATGCAAAAACAAAAAACAAAAAGGGAATAGCCGCAAGGGAGACCAGGAAGGGCATTGTGCTACCAATGGGAGGGGTGTGCATGTGATGAAGCTATCCCATTGGGGAAAGCAGTCTGCCATTGGATAGTTTTATTGCCACACAATCATGCACTTCCTTTTAACCAATCCAGAAGTGGCGCACGAAAGGAATTATTCATCCCCCTTCCACACACACACACACACACACACACACACACACACACAGGCCTACTTTGGAGCAAGGAGGCTGCAGACTTTTAGAGAAAGGAAGCAGCTGCTGTAACCTTTTTTTTAAACTAAAAAAGACAAAAGAAGCCTTCGGGGGGGGCGGGAAAGGACTTTATTTTTCTAAATGTTAAACTCAGTATTTATGTAATTCTCAAAGGAATTAAAGTCTGGCTCCTGTACAGTTTTCATGGGGTTTGTACTTGGGGAGCGGGTGGGTGGGGGAGAAAGGGCCATGGGGTGGGGAGGAGGAAAGGGGCCTTTTAAATTTGTATTGTCACCTTTATGAAATTTATTCCATGAACATTAGCGTTTAAGCTGGTCTCCTGCCTCAAGCACTTGGGTCAAGCTTGATGGGAAGGTCCTGACAGTGGAGGAAGGGAGACTTTCTTTTTAAGGTTTATTTTCCCCTTTCCCAACTTTGCTTCCTTTGAAATCTACGAATGAAGGGCGGTATACAAATTTTATTAATAATAATAATAATAATAATGGAGTTGGTAAAATGGACTGTGTAACATCTGGCTGCAAGGGGTTGCCTCACATTCCTCAATACTCCCTTAAGAAACAAAGTCTCCACTCAAAACACAGAATTAGCACAATTTCTTTCCTGGTGTGCTAGTATTGTAAATGTCAGAAAGCATTCAAAAATTGTATCCCCCCTACTGCAGCGTAAGGAATAGAGTTTGTTCTACCACCTCTCTTCAAGTCAGTCTTTGAGGGTGCCACAAGACTCTTGATTGTTTTTGCTGCAAGAGACCAACAGATTTACTACAGCACAAGGTTTCTTGGACTCAGGCCCATTTTGTCAGGTGTGCGAAACCAAAATTTAGTTGGCTTTATAAAAGTGAAAATTGTAAGTGACAGCTAGATATTAATTACCGTATTTTTCGCTCTTTAAGACGCACCAGACCACAAGACGCACCTAGTTTTTGGAGGAGGAAAACAAGAAAAAAAATATTCTGAATCTCAGAAGCCAGAACAGCAAGAGGGATCGCTGCGCAGTGAAAGCAGTGATCCCTCTTGCTGTTCTGGCTTCTGTGATAGCTGCGCAGCCTGCATTCGCTCCATAAGACGCACACACATTTCCCCTTACTTTTTAGGAGGGAAAAAGTGAGTCTTATAGAGCAAAAAATACGGTACTATATTAAGCAAGCACCTCTTTAACCTTTTATAGTACCAGATTGTTGGTCATTGGTGAGATGACTTCATTATTTCCCCGGTAAAAAAGGTTAAAGATTTGCCTATCTAGCACATCTAGTTAACATCTTAAGTATCATTGAGTTCAATTTTTGCATCTTACTGCCATTCAGCTAGCACCTTGATTTTTCTCTTCTATGCACCTGCCAACTTGAGTGGGCTTGAGTCCAGTCTTTTAAGATACAATACTTGTTTGTTTTTGGTGCATGTGTTGATTAGCCTTCAGCCAATGTGCATTTAATGGACTCTAGTAACTGGAGGGGAAACCATGTTTCTGTACTGGAAGATGAGGTCCTAAAGAGGAGCCCAAGGTACCTTATTCTTTTAAGTCTCCCATTTTCCACTTTGGGGTGTCATGAGTCCAGGAAACCATCCTTTGGTTCTCTTGGCCTGGGCAAGACTGACCCTTGAATTCCAATGTCCTGGTGTGCTTCCAACTTCCAGCCTCGCCCTAGAGACATGCACTACATTCTTCTATTAAGCTCTGAGTAGAACACTCCTTCCATGGTTAAAATATTTTATCCTTAAAAGACATGGATGCCACAAATGCATTCAGGGGAAAAAAGTAACCCACTTCCAGTAATTAAGAGCTCCTTATGAGAATTTGGTCCAGCCATTCTGGTGAAGCGCAGGGAGTTCAAGGGAATCTGATGTAATGGGTAAAAATAGCTCATTTTTTATCTGCATGTAACTCCTTGGCAAGCTGGTGGCCTGTGTAGACCTGCCAAGTGATGAGAATTTTACTAGCCTTTTGTATTTGGTCAGGAGTTGAGAGTAAGAGGGGGAGTGGTAAAGGGGTGCTTAACGTGGCCAATAATAACAAATTACTGGCCTCCAGGCAGTTGCACATGGTGGGATGTTGGTAAATTGTTAATTGTGCTCTCCCACTAATGGGTGGGGTGGGAAATCTCTGGTCCTGTAGTAGTTGCTAGACTACAACTCCCATCATGCTTGACAATTGGCCATGCAGGCTGGCTGGTGATGAGAACTGGGAGTCCAGCCACAGGTGACCCCCCAAAAAAAACCCCACACTTAGGAATTGGTAAGGGTAAAGGGGGAATGTATGAAGAATATATTTGTATCAAGAGGGAGTTTGTGGTGAATGATTATGGATATGTTTGGGTAGAGGAACATCGGCAAAGCCGGTTTTCTCTGATGTTGCTGACTCAAAAGATGCCTGTTAAATAGGATCAGAAACCAAACTGATTGGATGTAGGTTCCCACTCCCCCCCAAAAAATCTTCCAGAAACCCCCACCCCTGCCCGATTTCAAATGCTGAGGATCTTGTTCCATTTAATCTGTAGTCCGTCCCCCCCCCCAATTTTAGGAAGTTTTGTTGGCTACGAAAAGCACCTGCAGGTTAAACGCTAATGTTGCATGTAATTTAAAGTGTTGACTTGTAAGAACACTTATCAGGGATGAGATGGCATTTATTGTGTGGTGACCTTTCTAGTTCACACTTTACAGATTGTTTTGGGGTTTTGTGTGTGTGTGCGTATGCGTGTGTGTGCGTGAGTGGCTGTGCGTGTGGGGTTAATTTCCAGGGTTGTGTTTCTGGAAGGATGTGACTGTAATCGCAGTACTATGTACAGAGCTTTCTTTTGTATTAAAAAAAATACTCTTTCAATAAATGTATCATTTTGTGCACAGACTTTGTGTCCTCAGTGTTGCCTCTGGGATTCAGAAACGGGAAACAAAATGGGGGATGCTCACAAAGTTCTGGGATATTCACAAGCCAAAAATGAAGAGAGCCCCCAACATCACCAGCAACACTCCTAGCCCTTTCTACATTGGACAGAGATCGTATGCATCTTGGAACTGGTGGAGATATATATGAAGGGGTCTTGTCCGTCATAATTTATTGCAGGGTGAAGTGGGGGAGGGAATTTGATTCTCTGAAGAAGAGCCAAACTGCATGTTATCACTAGCAAATTCAGGTCCCCAAAATTGTGTCTCTTGTTGTGATGCAAACAGGGAGGTGGGAGTGTTTGTCAGGTAATTTGCCAAGAGTGGCTGGGGTACAAATAATAAAATAATAAAATTATTATAATTGGGTGGAGGGGTGGTGTTTTGCCCTTCTCAGCATTTCCCCCCCATGGGCTCTCCTCATCCCTAACGAACTGAAGTTTGCTCTTGCTCACAGATTCTAGGACCTGCCCTTTTTCATTTCTTTAAAAAATGTATGAGCTGCTTGCACAGTGAAATAAATAAATTTTGAAGTGGTGTACTTGAGAGTCCCATGGTCTACAAGAAGATCAAACCTATCCATTCTTAAGGAAATCAGCCCTGAGTGCTCACTGGAGGGACAGATCCTGAAGCTGAGGCTCTAATACTTTGGCCACCTCATGAGAAGACAAGACTCCCTGGAAAAGACCCTGATGTTGGGAAAGATGGAGGGCACAAGGAGAAGGGGACAACAGAGGACGAGATGGTTGGACAGTGTTCTCGAAGCTACTAACATGAGTTTGACCAAACTGCGGGAGGCAGTGGAGGACAGGAGTGCCTGGCATGCTCTGGTCCATGGGGTCACGAAGAGTCGGACATGACTAAACGACTAAACAACAACAATAGATTCAATGTCATAATAAAACCTAACTAAACTGCACAAAGCAATTAAATAGGCACAATCCATCATCTAAAGAGAAGGATAAATTCAGGAAGACTTTTAAAATAAATGTAACTTGAGCCTTGTGCCTGGATAGGCTTGATGGTATTTATTGCTAGACTTTGCAAATGCTAGAAATTTAAGGTTACTATCCATCAACACTGGAGGGCAACTAATTCCCTGCCACTGTAGTGAAGCCCAAGTCTTCACATGTAGGTAAGTCCATGGAGTTAAAGCGGGCTTCTTTCCAAGAAAATCCTCTCAGGGTTGGTTAACAATGAGCTAGGGTGGGGAAATCGCTTTGGCAGGTTCTGTTTGTTGTCTTTGCGTCACACTTTCACAAAATCATGGCCTCAGGTGGTATACAGGCTCCATCTTGGGGGGGGGGGGCAGTATGTAGGGTAGTCACCAACTGTATGTAGCTTGTCTGTGCCAAAGTAGTTTATAGACAGTAAAATGGCAAAGTTTAATCCCTTGAGGTTTTTTTTGTCAAAACGGGAGGATATAAAGCCAGAAGAAATAATGTGTTTCCCCTGTTTTTTTCCTATAAGATTTGCTTTTTATTATTATTTTAAAAAGCAGGATTCAAGTGCCCATGTTTAGAGCTTAAGAAACGGCTTAGTCATGCTGGCCACATGACCCGGAAGCTGTATGCCAGCTCCCTTGGCCAATAAAGCGAAATGAGCGCCGCAACCCCAGAGTCGGTCACGACTGGACCTAATGGTCAGGGGTCCCTTTACCTTTATATATTCAAAAAGTTGCTTGTAGTCACAGGGAAAGGATACTCTGTAAATGCTTAGAATAAAGACGCTAATGATTAGCACAGGTGGCAAATAGTACACAATCCTTCGTGTTATTTTAAATCCCAACAAAATTTTATTAAATGAACCGAGTTTGCGCTTTAGCCTTGTTCTGGCCAAGTTGGTCTACACAATCTAATGAAAGCACTTAAAGTTGAGCAAATAAAGCTTGCATGAATCTGATAGTGACTTCCATTCTAATCAATATAGAGCTAATACCCGTTGCTAGGAGGCACAGGTAGGCAGAGTGCTGCTGTGCTCATCTCCAGTTTGCAGGCTTCCCACAGGCATTGGGTCAGCCACTGTGAGAGCAAGATGCTGAAACTAGATGGGCCATTGGGCTGATCCAGTAGCTTC